CAACCAGCTGGGAGATATCCATATTTGTGCCCATTCCAAAGAAAGATAGTCCAACAGAATGCAGAAATTATTGAACAACATCATTAATAATACACGTAGGTAAAATTTTGCTGATGGTAATTCAAAAACTGTTGCAGCAGTACCTCAACAGGGAACTGCCAATAAATTCTAGCCAGATTCAGAAGAGGATGTGGAATGAGGGATATTATTGTTGATGCCACATGGATCTTGGCTGAAAGCAGAGAATACCAGAAAGATAATTACCTGTGTTTTATTGACTATGCAAAGGCATTCAACTGTGTGTAGCATAACAAGTTATAGGTAACATTGTGAATGGGAAATCCAGAAAACTTCATTGTGCTCATGAGGAGCCTGTACATAGACCAAGAGGCAGTCAGTCAAACAAAACAAGGGAATACTGTATGATTTAAAACCAGAAAAGGTGTGAGTAGGGATTGTATCCTTTCACCATACTTATTCAATCTGTGTGCTGAGCAAGTAACCTGAGCAGCTTGACCATATGAAGAAGAATGAGGCATCAGGGTTGGAGAAAGACTCATTAACACCCTGTGATATGCAAATGACACAACCTCGCTTGCTGAAACTGAAGAGGACTTGAAGCACTTACTGAGGAAGATCAAAGACCACAGCCTTCTTTATAGATTATACCTTAACATGAAGAAAACAAAAATCCTCACAACTGGACCAATAAACAACATCATGATAAACAGAGAGAAAATACTGAAGTTGTCAAGCATTTTCATTTTACTTGGACCCACAATCAATGCCCATGAAAGGAGGCAGTCAAGAAATCAAGCAACATATTGCACTGGGCAAATTTGCTGCAAAAGACCTCTTTAAAGTGTTAAAAAGCAAAATCGTCATTTTGAAGACTAAGGCGCACCTGATCAAGGCTATGTGTCTTCGGCTGGGCTCTCTAGAGAAGCAAAACCAGTGAAGCATCCATACGTAGAGAGAAAGTGAGATATATATCAAGGAAATGGCTCACGTGGTTGTAGATGCTAGAAATTTCCAAATCTGTGGGTCAGGCTGGAGGCTTCTCCCAACTCGTAGCTGCAGGGCTGGCAAACCCAATGTCCAGACAGCAGAGGCTGATGAATCCCAAAATCTGCAGGCAAGATGCGAGCTCAAGTCCCAAGAACCAGATGTCAGGTGAACAGGAGCCAGCTGCAGGATCCAGAGCAAGCCTTTCCAGAAAGTCTGCCTATATTTGATATAGGCCACATCGCCGAGGAATCCCCCTTTTCACTGACTGGCTACTCACGGTAGATCTCATCATGGAGGTGATCACATTATATCAAATCTCATCATGGAAGTGATCACATCGTTATACAACTGCCAAACTGCATCAACTGTCAAGCCACTGAGAATCATGGCCCAGTCAAGTTGACACACAACCTTAACCATCACACCAGGATATTTTCAATAACCTCCTAAGCATTGGAAAGTTGGACAGTGAACAAGGGAGACTGAGAAAGAATTGATGCCTTTGAATTATGGTGTTTGTGAAGAATACTGAATATACCATGGACCGCCAGAAGTACAAACAAATCTGTCTTAAAGAAGAACAGCAAGAATGCTCCTTAGAAGTGAGGATGGCGAGACTTTATCTCATGTACTTTGGACATATTATCTGGAGGGAACATTACCTGGAGAAGGACATCATGCTTGGTAAAGTTGAGGGTCAGCAAAAAAGAGGAAGACCCTCGATGAGATGGATTGACACAGTGGCTGCAACGAAGGTCTCAAACAGAGCATTGATTGTGAGGATGCCTCAGGACTGGGCAGTGTTTCGTTCTATAACACGTAGCATCGTTATGTGTTGAAACTGACTTAATGGCACCTCACAATAACAACATACACTAACAACTCCCAAATTTATATCTCAAGAAAGGAACACTTCCCTGGATTCCAGACTTGTGTAATTATCTGTCTGCTTGATATCTCCATGCGGATGCCTAATAGGCACCTCATACTACACATATTCCAAAACACAACCCTGATATTGAGACTCTTTGCCCATGCTCACAACGGTTGGCAATTCCATTCTTTTAGGTGCTGAGCAGTTCCCTCCACTAAGCATTATCTTTGATTCCTCTCTCTTTCTTATACTCTCTGTCCACCCCTTCAGAAAACTATGTTGTCTATACAATGCAAATATATCCAAAATCTCACCAAATCTCACCGACTCCACTGTTAATCACCATGGTCCAAGTCACCATCATTTTGTTGTTGTTGTTACCATCGCTTTAGGATTATTAAAAAACTCTCTATGCCTGGGCATCCTTAATCTTCCCTTGCCTTCCGGTGATGTTTTACAATCTGCCCAGCACTATGTCTTTGATCTCATCTTTTCTATTCTCCAAGCATTCATTGCATTACAACCTCTGCTGACCTCTATATGATCTATTTTTGTTGTTGTTGGTTATCATGTTTGCATTGTTTTTCTTCATGGGTATTTAAATTAGAACTTATGTATTTTATTTGAATGGCAAGATTGTTTTCCCCTCTCTCTTTTTCAATTATGTGCTCACTCTTTCTTGTGCTACAGGTTCACAGTAGCCCTCACCAATCACCACTCCTACCATTCTCAACTGGATTTCCTGACTCTCCCACTTGGTAATACTGAGAGTAACACAAATTCAGCCACCAAAACAGCTGGTAACTTGGGTCATTTCCTCCATGGAGGCTTTTCTGAAACTTGCAGCAGTTATATGCACCATTTTATGTTTGAGGGTTTTTGTTTTTGTTTTTGGTGGTACCTGGAAAACAACTTGTATTTTTATGCTTCAGGTGTTTCTGTGGGACCTGGAAAAGTTTATCTTTTTTTGAGACCAGCTATATTTTGTTTTATTTTATCTGTTATTTCATGTATTTGAAGTGAATGGAGTTAAGATAGCAAATGGTAACATCACAATGCCATCTTGTCACAAGTTGGTTTTTAAATAATATATGTAGAAAACTATAGGTTAAAAAATTTATATAGAAATAGTTAGATGTGCTAAAATAAGTTGATGAATACATGAAAATAGTGAGTTCATTAAAGGTAAAAGCTTTTTAAGTGAATATTAAATTGGAGCACCATCTTCACATGTTAAATAATGGCTGTTATCTATCTAAATTTACTGAGATTATGGATAAACTGCATACTAGTGCCTAGCAATGACACTGTGAATTCTGACAACTCCATTAAAAACCAGGAAACAAAATATCAACCTCCTTCCACTAATGTGAATAAAATTTTACATAGAAACTATTGTGATGAAATTGGATACTCTGATTATGAAACCCTAAAAAGGAAGTAGCAGGTCTTTCTACAGTTATCACAGTCAGAATTGATCAGAGAAAATAGCTTAGAATATGCTGTATGTAAAATATACAGAAGAAAGATTAAGGTTCAAGGGACTTTCAATGACTTTTAGAAAGAAACAACACTGAATATTTGCATTTTACAATCTCTTAGCTATGTTTCTAAATATTATATTCATATACATAAACTATATCTTCACACCTAAAATAGGAGTCAGGTTTCCTAATGTCTTTGGAAAGATAGAGTTGCTTTCAGTTGTAATTAGAAAAAGAAGACTGGAATGCAGTTAGAGAGGGATAATGCATTCCCATGTACAAGGTATGTGACATTGAGGTGAACAGAAACAGGTGACGAGAGATGAATGGCATGCAGCTGGTTTGGCAACGTTGGGAAATCAGCCATCATGAATTTCACCTTTTGAAGTCTTGGTCATTAAGGATTTGCACTGCCCTGGGATCAGAATGACAATAAAAATGTTGGATTAATGAGGAGCTTTGGGTATTTACCCCCAGGGAGACGGAGACTGCAAATAGTCTGCCTGTGACCACCTCGCTCAACAGCCCTCCTTGAGTCAGGAAGCAGTGCACCTGAGACTCTGCCCACAGTTGATCCTCATGCCTAGGAGACTTGTCCCTCATTTGATCTGTCTGCCTTTCCTGAGGACACATCTACTACACCCAGGGAAAATGTCAAGCATCATTCCTCAGTGATACCAGCCAGGTAACCTGTCATCCGTTAGTTAAAGTTTAAAAATGAGGACAGCTGTTTCACTACAGGTTCATCCAGGGGAAGCTGTGAAGAGAATACATGCATGAAGTGATTTGAACCAAGTCTACCACTAACTCCTACCTGTCTTCCATCTCCCTTATGTGTTTCCTTATATCTTTGCACCAATATCAGGGAACTCTTATTCTACCAGTCTTTTAATTGTCTTTGCAACAGCAGGGACTATTTTTCTCCTGAGTAGAAATCTGGCCCTTCTCAAACAATGTAACTTAAAAAATTCTCTAACATTTACTTGCATTCTTGTGATGGTGCAGGATGAGAGTTATCAGCTTCATCTTAAGTTCCCATTCCTGGTTCTTAACACAAATTTTTGTTATCTCCGTTGCCTGGCACTGATCTCTGGGGAAAGAGGTGGAGTCTAAAACATCATCAAGTTGCCTCCCTAGTCTACTTGTTTCTCTTTATAAAATTACCAAACATGTAAAACGATCATAACAGCACAGATGTTGTTGTTATATGCTGTTGAGTAGGTTCTGACTAATAGCAGCCCTATGGGACAGAGTAGAACAGCTCCATAGGGTTCCCAAGGAGTAGCTGGTCAATTCAGACTCGCAACCTTTTGGTTAGCAGCCAAGCTCTTAACCACTTGCCACCAGGGCTCCAACAGCACAGATAGTGTAATAAAAAAAAAAAAAAATGAGCACCTCCTCACCTCTTTCCTGATTAAATAAATGTTTATGCCCAGCTACATCAGCTTCTGGTCTTTTTTAAATTAAATGAATAAATAATGGGCATACAGAAGATACCCTTTCCATATTCCCCACCATTCCTCTCTTACCTTTCCCCCAGATGACATTTGTCTCTGGTGATGCTGCTTTTGGTCTAGGGACCACACATTTAATTGTCTTGTCACACCATCTTTTCCATAAGATACATCAACAATATGGAATCTAGAAACCAAACAAGTGTTTCTGAATTCCTTCTTCTGGGATTAACAGAGGATCTGGAACTGCATTCCCTCCTCTTTAACCTGTTTCTGTCCATATACCTGGTCACGGTCTTTGGAAACCTGCTTATCATCCTGGCTGTTGGGTCTGACTCACACCTCCACACCCCCATGTACTTCTTTCTTTCCAATTTGTCCTTCACTGACATCTGTTTCAGCACAACAACTATCCCAAAAATGCTGGTGAACCTCAAAGCACAGAATCAGAGCATCACTTATGCAGGCTGCCTCACCCAGGTCTGCTTTGTCCTGGTTTTTGCTGCTTTGGAAAGTTGTCTTCTTGCAGCAATGGCTTATGACCGCTACGTGGCCATTTGTCACCCACTAAGGTACACAGTCATCATGAAGCCCCGCCTTTGTGGCCTGCTGACTCTACTCTCTCTGTTCATTAGCATTGTGGATGCCCTGATCCACAGCCTGATGGTGTTGCGCCTGTCTTTCTGCACAGACCCGGAAATCCCCTACTTCTTCTGTGAAGTTATTCAGGTCATCAAGGTTGCCTGCTCTGACACCCTCATCAATAACATCTTCATATATTTTGTGGCTAGCATACTGGCTGGTATTCCTTTCTTTGGAATTATTTTCTCTTATACTCAAATTGTCTCCTCCATTTTGAAAATGCCATCAGTGGGTGGAAAGTATAAAGCTTTTTCTACCTGTGGATCTCACCTCTCAGTTGTTTTCTTATTTTATGGTACAGCTTTTGGTGCATATATTAGTGCTGCATTTATACACTCATCCAGGAAGACTGCAATTGTTTCAATGATGTACACTATGGTCACTCCCATGATGAACCCCTTCATCTATAGCCTGAGAAACAGGGATATGAAGGGATCCTTGAGGAAAATTGTCAGGAGCATATCTGCTTTTTAGTGATTATATTATCTTCTTTGGGCCTGGGTTTCTAGATTGTGTCAAAGTGAAATAATACTCATGAGGCAGAATCCCTGACTCTTCCATCTCCATGTTCTTCTAAAAGGACTAAACAACATAATGGATAAGTGCAATTCAATTTGGTGTTTAAACTTGACTTTGATTCTTGTGTACTTTGTGATGTTTGACAAATGACGTCAACTCTCTAAACTCAGTTTCTTTGGTCAGGTTCTATAGAATCAGAGCCTGAGGCAGGGTTCTTTATTAACTGATTTGGGGGGAACATTCCTAGAATTAAAAAAACAGGAAAAGGTGAATAGGGTAGGTAAAGAATGTAGGCAAGGCTGTGGGCATAGCTAGAGACTAGCTTCAGCCTGATCCCATGGATAAAGCCGTGTGAATGGAAACCCAGTTAGTCCCAATGAGAGATAAGGGAGCTGAATTTTTATGCCTCAATATAGTTATTATCAATACATATCACTGGTAAACTACCTGTGTCTAAGGTAAAATCAGCACCCACTATCCTCAGTTTTATTATCTTTTGTTGTTGATTTTATATGTTGCTAAGTTAGCCATCAACTCATGACACAACAAGATCAGAACATTATTATGCATAGTGTCTTCGTTGGCTGATTTTTTTATAAGCAGATCACAAGGACTTTCTTCCTAGTTTGTCTTAGTCTGGAAGCTACACTGAAACCTTTTCAGCATCATTGCAACACACAAGTCTCCAGTGACAATGCATAAGGTGCACTGGTCAAGAATCAGACATGGATCTTCCACATGGGAGGCGAGAATTCTCCCACTGAACCACCACTGTTCCCCTTCATAATCTATAAAATTTGCATAATTAGATTATCTCTGTGGTTTCTAATGATTGTGATATAATAAAACCTTATCAGTGAGGAAGCCATCGGTTCTAATAAGAAAATATAAGCACTGACTTTAATATGCTCAATTAAGAGCGTTATCTTTCATTACAAAGACTTTAAAGCTAAGGAACGCACAGGAACATTACAATAGGGCTTCATTCGTTCCCCTTGAGATGATTTCACCTAGCAATGGTTCCCCTCATAGTGACAAATGGCTGCAACAGAGTCAGGTGTCATATCCAGACATGATACTCAGAGCCATAAAACTGACCACTTGTCCCTGAACCTATTGTTAATAGTGGATCTATTGTTAATAGACCTTGCCATACAGAAGATGTCTCCTCCCATCTCATCACCGAGAATAGCATCATATGTCACTTCTTAATCATGGGTGAAAAATAATTACTATGTAAGCTTAGCCTGACTATGTACAGTAGATTTTATGTTGGGAAGGTAACCCCTATAATCACTACAAATACATAATACAATGCCTGACATATGATGTTCAATAAAATTTAACCAGGACATGTGTGTTCTGTATGTTGCCATTATTTATAAGGCTTATTATTCCTTGCTCTCACATATTTCTACCACTTGCCTCAAAAGTTTTGTTGGTTTACCTTTGTCATAATACCTATCAGCAGCTTTTATGTGTCTTAATAATACAATCAAACGAAAAATTATTGAACAGGCAGGATAAAGGGAGAAAATGTTTCTGAAACTTTATATGCTTTGATTCCTTCTCGTCGATGTATTAGTAAGAGTGTATGGAAGTTTTTACTTCTCTCCTTAGTTACCTTATTTTGCAATTTTTCTTTCTCATCTCTAGTGGAGTCAATACAGAGAAACATGGTTGAGTAAAATTAATTAAATCATTGAAGTCTTAGTGGGCTGGCTGTACTCTTAGGAATCCCATGTAAAAGTTTTTAAAGTGTCTTTGCGAGGAAAACACTTTCTCTGTGGAGATGGACTTTATTTTGAGGAAGACATATTGATTATGGCTTCTAGGGCCATCAGTGAGAATCATCCCTGTGGTGTGGAGATGGCAACAATACAGGTCTTCTGGGAGAATCAGTGGAGTGTCTGGAGAGCCTTTTGTTCTGGTCATCACTGTGGTGGTGGTGGGATTGTGTTCAGTACCACACTCGGAGGACAACTCTTCACCTGGCACACCAGTGTATTCTAGTGCCTCCATTTTTATCCCCAGAACACCTGCAGAGATGAGTCACATCAGGCCTTCGTTCATACTGCAGGTTCCCATGCCTCATTCAAGAACTACTGACTTTGATCTCTGGGGAGACATCCAAAGGATGAGCATTCTACATAAGCACTTCATGAGATTTTGATGGATGCTGAAGTCTGAGAAGCATGACTTTAATAGTAGAAGAACATGACAGAATGTGTTTAGAATCTGGAATATAAAAGAATCTGGACATTGAAATCTTTACAATTTTACTTATTAAAATATAATATGCAAAATAGTGTGTAAAGTGTACCTATAGTTCTTAAAGAATAGTAATATAATGAAAACTCATACGCTTGTGACATAGTTTAAGAAATAAAGTGATGACATCACCATAGAAACCATTTGAAAGCTCTCCTGGTGGCAAACACTATCTTGAATTCTGTATTTATCATTTCCTCTGATGTTCTTCAATGTGTTGAATCCTTTTTTTATGGATTGAATTACTTCCTCCAAAAAGGTAGATTGAAGTCCTAATTCCCTAGTACCTTTGAATGTGATCTTGTTCAGAAATAGGGTTTTCAAAGCTGTTTTCGGTTAACATGAGGTCATACTGGAAAAGTGTGGGTCCAAATCTGATAAGTGGTATCCTTATAAAAAAGCCAGAGACAGAGGGAGGGTGGCCATGTGAACACAGAGGAAGAGTTACGGTGCAGCTGCAAGCCAAAGAATGCCTGCGGATACCAAAAACTGGGAGAGAAAAGAAAGAATCTTTCCCCAGACCCTTTGGAAAGAGAATAGCCCTGCTAACACCATGCATCCGGACCTCCAGCCTCCAGAACCGTGACACAACAATTTTTCCATATATTAAGCCACCTACTTTGTGGTACTTTTTTATTGAAGCCCTAGGAAACTAATACACATGTGAAATTGCCAGTATTTGATCATATTTGCTCTATAAAACTGGCAATGGAATTAAAGGTCATTTTTAATCACCTCTGTGTATATCCCTGGAAACCCTGGTGGCGTAGTGGTTAACAGCTATTGCTGCTAAGCAAAAGATCGGCAGTTCAAATGCACCAGGTGCTCCTTGGAAACTCTATGGGGCAGTTCTACTCTACCCTATAGGGTAGCTATGAGTCGGAATCAACTCGACAGCAACAGGTTTGGTTTCTTGGTTTATGTATATCCCTATCCAATTTATAAATTTGCCTCTTTTTAAACTTGTTAATAGATAAATCTCAATGTGTAACTTTTGTGTCCTGATTGTGCTTCTGAAATTCAATCATACTGCTGGATATAGCAGTAATTCATTTATTTACATGCTGTATATTTTACATTATATATGGTGACATTACAAAATAGGTATCCTTTCTAATGCTGACAGTTTTCTATTATTAATAAATCTATTTGAATATTCACATACACATCTCCTGGAGAAAATCAGAATGAGTTTTATAACTGGGGTGTAATTTTTGGGTGTAGGGGAATACCTACTCTCCTTTGGAAACTTCCAAAGAGTTTTCTTAAGTGGATGAACCAACTTAAACATCCATAATAAATTCTTGATTATCCATATCATCACCACATGTTTTCATTTATTCTGATAATGTAGTGGTTGTAAAAATTATTTCTTTATTTGACATTTCTTTTATCATTAGTGAAATTGAGGGACTTTTCACATATTTATGGGACATTTATTTTTCCACTGGAGTCCCTGGTGGTGTAAATAGTTAACTCTCAGCTGCTAACTGAAAGATTGGCTGTTTGGGTCCACCCAGAAGCATCTTGGAAGAAAGTGTGGTAATGTACTTCTGAAAAATCAGCCATTGAAAACCCTATGGAGCACAGCTCTACTCTGACACACATGGATTTGCCTTCAGTCAGAATCAATGTGACTGTAATTGGTTTGTTGTTGTTGTTTTAATTTTTCCGTTACTGGACATTTTTTCTTCTGGTATTTCTAATGAGCTGGATTTTTTTTTTTTAACTGATGTTTTTATTAGTTTAAAAATTATCTTTGATTAATTTTATTAATTCGTAACAGTTATTTACCTAAATCAGGATATTAACTTTTGTCAGTTATGTGCATTGCTAATTTCTTCTTTAGGTGAGTAGCTTGTTTTTGCACATCATTTATAGCATATTTGCATGAACACATGTTCTTAGTTTAATAGAGTTGTATATCTCAGTACTTTACTTAATGAATTGTGCTCAATAGATCTCGTTTGTGAAACCTCTACTTATCTCAAACTTAAGGATTTATGTGTTTTTCCTTTTACATTTGAAGCATGTATCTACCTGGAATTTATCTTTGCCCTTGATGTGAGACAGGAATTCAAATTCATTTTTATGTTGTAGCTCCTTTTAATAAATAGTCCATACATTCATGGTAATGTCATTCTGTAATAAATAAACTATTTATGTGTTGGTCTTTATCTGTGCTCTCTCATCTGATCGATAGGTCTGTTGTATCTATCCCTGCACTCAAATTACAGGTCTTAATTATTGTAACATAACAGTCAGCTAAAAATATGTTTGTTGTAATAACAAACTAGGCCCAACATCGTTCAGTTAGAACCACAAAGGCATCACAGGTTTACTGCTTCCATGATAATTGGCAATTTACTACAGTAATCTTGATAAAAAGAGCTGTAATTTCAACCTATGATCTATAATGTGGGGGGAAAATGTATATTGAAGATATTACTTTGAAATTAGGAAAAGTTGGTGTTAAAATTCTAAAAAAGGAATAGAATGACTATTACAGGCTCAGTCCATTTTGATTACAGATATTATATTAACACTGACCAAACCCTGTTGCCGCAGAGTCAGTTCGAACTCACATGTTACAAACCCACGTGTTGTACAGTAGAACAGTTCCATAAGGTTTTCTTGGCTGTAATCTTTACATAAGCAGATCACCAGGCCTTTCTATGGAGTGCCACTGGGTACGTTGGAACCACCAATGTTTAGGTTAGTAGTCAAGCACAGACAGTTTGTGCCACCCATGTATCCTGAGACTATATTAGAAAATGTTAAATATAATATGAAGAAAAAAATCACCATTCAACGAGCCATATGGTAGAATTAGCCCTAGAATTTGAATTTTCAAGTACATTTGCTATATTATCACTTGTATTTATGCAGGTACTATATCTATAACCAACAAATAAATTATC